CTCTCTCTCTCTCTCTCTCTCTCTCTCTCTCTCTCTCTCTCTCTCTCTCTCTCTCTCTCTCTCTCTCTCTCTCTCACACACACACACACACACACACACACGCCACTGAGAAAAGGATAAACGGGATGTAAAGACAGACAGCTAACTGGCGCACATCCCCAACTGGACTAAGTAGTCCCTGGTCACCCAGTACAAGCACGTGCTACAGCTCTGAGACGCCCCAACCCCTCAGTACCTCTGTAATCTTTTCATGTCTATTGTCAAAAACCTCATGCTAAGGAATGGTAGGGAATGCTCTACAATGTGCACTGGCAACTCCAGTGACCTACGGTTAAACTGCTCCCCCGCCCCCACCCCATGAACTGAGATAGATTCTTTGGAATTCAGAAACTTACTGTTCGGCCTAATTCCACAAAAAAAAAAAAATGACGAAGTTTAAATCCTAAAGATCCTGAGGGTTTCGGGTGTCATCTTTTTCTGCTACCAACTTTGTCCGTGAAGTCACGGACGTCCTCAAAGACAGGATCGTTTCTTAGTTGAGATAGATATTTAAGACTGAGCGAGTGTGGATGTGGACGGCGTGAGCATATGGTTTTCATCTGTCTTGTCAAAACTTTAAAAGTCAAATGCCATCTTCGTTGGAGAATGATCAGTCCTGGCTGATCAGATCAGCTCGCTCCGAGCAGGAACCTTGACCATAACATACCACTAGGTGGCGGACTCAGTCCGTTCAAGAATCACCCTGCTAGCCTAGACTTCCACGGTAGACCTGTCCAGAGGCTTTCTGTCTGTTTCTTGGGGGTGGCGGAAGGGGGGAGAGGGAGGAGATGCTTCCAAAACTGAAGTAGGAAAACATTTAGTTGAGCAGATGCAACTCTGTTCTTCCGGTGCTCACGCTTCTATCTAACACCGCACCGTTTCGGGAACTGCTTTCGGGTATTATTTGGTTATTTGTTCCCCTCCTCCACGCCTCAAAGCTGGCTACACTCACTTAAAAAAAAAGTGATACATTAAAGAGTTAAGAGAAATTCATGCAAAAGGAGAGAGAAAGAAGAGGAGAAGAGGAGAGAGAGGGAATGGGGAGGAGGGAGAGAGAGAAAGAGAGAGAGAAGAGAAGAGAAGAGAAGAGAAGAGAAGAGAAGAGAAGAGAAGAGAAGAGAAGAGAAGAGAAGAGAAGAGAAGAGGCCGGGAATAAGCTCGTGAGCCATCCCTACGGAGGAAGGGGGAGCCGGACTTAAAACCTTGACCCACTGAGCAAAAGCAGGAGAAGGGAACCGAACCGACTATGTCCTTCGAGGGGGGGCTACTGGTCTGGAAATGGGAAGCAGAAAGGGTTGGAAGGAGCGAAAAGCCAGCCAGCGGGGCCACTGTGCAGAGCCCTCGCGCGTCGCTGAGGTCCCACTTGTTGCGCAGTGTGGGAAACCGGCACGCGCCACACTGCCTTGACTCCCACATGGCTGCAGCCTAGCCTACCGCTGCTACCTGCGGTCCACAAGCCTCTCCCCACCACCGGGGCACACGCCACCACAGACCCGGGGGAAACTAGAGCACTTTCATTACTACGGGTTTTCGCACCAAAACATTCCTCCTATTCTCAAACTCAGACCATCAGCAGACTTCGGGTACCCTGAGCAGTCAAGTCCGAAGTGGAAAAATAGCTACATCAAGGCCAGTGAAGACGCAGCTAAGAGCCAACTGCAGCCCACCTCCACCCCGGCAAGGGTGTCCCTTCATTTACGGGAAGGACATCGTGCTCGTTTTGAAAACAACGTGTTAATATCCTATTTAAGAGATTGACTGCAAGGTATTTCATTTAAAAGTTTCATCTCTCAAAGTTTCTGAAAATCTCTCAGAGGGAGTTGGGGCCACATGCCTAATTAATTACGGTCATTTCACAATTATTTTTCAAATGCTCGGCTTTTACCAATAGTTTCGCCCACCAAGGGGTGGCGCTGCCGCACCACCTCCCCTGAAACTTAATTTTTTTTTTTCTTCACAACAGAATGGGATATCCCCAGCAGGGGACAGAGGGAAGGAAGGATTTTGACATCTAGTCATGGCATTTACTCAACCCATAACTGGAACTCCTCCTCGGGGCTCAGTAAACGACAACTTAGAAATCTAGGATGCCATTCCTGACCACCAAGCCCAGAATAAATTAGTCTTTTCAAGAAAATATTGCTGTAAACCTTTCAAAACTGAGGAGAGGAACAAGGTAATGCGTGAATACCCGTTTTTCTGGGCGGTCTCTCCCCTCCACTGGCTTAGTTGTCCTGAACAGCATCCAGCTTTATTGTGGGTACCAAACAGACCCTTAAAATCATTCAACGCCTGAAAGTATTAGAAAAGAAATTCTTCCAAATAGGATACTGGAAACTTCTATTTATAAACGGGGATGGGGGTGGGGGGTTGTCTATCTACAGGTTTCTATTTTGGCCCCAGGGGCTCAACTGCAGTCCTTTTAGCAAGAGAAAATGTCTAGCCCCTGGTGTTTTCTCGCCATTTTCTCTTCCCCCAGGGACAAATCTCTTTCCTTTTTATTAAAATCGGTACATAAAGAAGAGTATGATTTCACCTCACTCCTTTGAGCTCATGTTTGCTACCTCCAGGAATAGCGTGTGGACTAGGGCCAGATGAACTTCAACTTGGGCTGCAGATTTACGAGGTCCTGCTCAAGTGCCAAAGGCTCTTGGTAGCAAATAGAGAGCAAAATAGATAGCCGTCTCCGGATGGGTCATGCTGCCCCCTCCCTTATTTGAAAGTTATTTATTAAAACCACACACAACACCTCGCAAAGAAAAAGGGAAACCAGCGAACTGCAGAGGAAGCCAGCGGCGTAGCTCAGAGCCACAAACTCTATTTCTAAACAGTCCTTTCCGAACAGTCCTTTCCGAAGATCCCTCTCTCTCTTGCCCCCTCCCTCTTTTCTTTTTTGCTGTTTCTTTTTGTGGATAGTAAAGCATCCACTGGTATAGCATATCTTCCTCCTGGGAACTATACAATGTTGGGGGGGGGCAAGGGTAAAAAATCACTTTTTAAGGGGGTGGGGTGCAACGCTTGTCTCAAGAACCCTGTAACAGCTCTAGACGGCCAGCACCAGGTTTGAGGTAATTTCTCACTATCCCTAGCACCAAAACTAAATCTCTAAGGGAGAGAGCACAACACAGAGGTTATTTATTTTACTTCTAAAAACAAAATGTTGGTTGGTGGTGTTGCTTCTTTTCATGGGGGAGTTTTAAAACTCATTTTTGCAACACTAGTTCCATTTTCTCCAGGGCTCCAATAACACGGTATTATAAAGGCAATGCAACCCACAGTTCTCAAGACATTTAACGTTCACTGTTTCCGGCAGGGTTGGCTCTAGCTCCCGCTGCCCCCCAGGCAGCCAATTTCCTAGGTTCCAACTCCCAACCCACTCCCGCCCCGGGCCGCCGCCGCCGCTTTTTTCCCATTCCTACTCCCTCGAGGAGAGCCACAGGTTGCAAATCCAACCAACCTCGCAATCTGTTTTTGCAAAATCACTCACAAAGATCTCCCTTTCGCACCCGCTCCTCCCGTCCCGGGTCCCCCAGCCAGAGTCACAAAGTGCCCTTCTTCCCTCCCTGGTCTTTCACGTCAGGCAGGCGGACTGGGGCTCTGTTTTCATTCCTTCGCCCAAAAGAAGGACCTTGGGAATCTGAAGCCTGGAATCCGCTATACCCAGGCCTATCGCTGCCTTTTTACACAGCTTGCACCAAGGGGGAAAAATGAAATTAAATTTAGGAAAGGGAGGGGAACTACCGCTGAGAGCCAACACAGTCACGCAGCACCCAAAATACAAACACCGCGGCCGCCAGAAATCCCGCCACCTCCCTGGAGCTCTGGACCGGCAGACCAAGATCCCCCGGGTCCTGCACGCTGAAAGCGCCGCAGGTGCAAAAAAAGAAAAAAGAAAAAAAAAAGCCGCGCACCCCTCTCCCGCTCACCCCCCCAAATTCTTGTCCCGCCTTCAAGCCTCCTTCCTCGGGCTGGGGAGACCGAGCGCACCCGGGTTCCCGACTGCCTCGACTCACAACCAAGAAAGAATAATTTTCAAAGTATTCAACATTCCCGCCCCCCCGTGCAAGCGAAGGATCCCCAAAACACTCTTGTCTCTCCTTGGGAAGATCACGGCTCTCAAAGGAAACTGCAGACACGCTACTTCATCTGGCTTTATGACCAAAAAGAAAAGGGAAAATAAAGCAACCAGCCGAGGAGTTGGCTTGCATTCCCCCCCATGCCGACTCCCGGCTCGGCTGCAAGGCAAGGGACTGGTGCGGGGCCGGGGCCGGTGGACGGCCGCCAACGCGGGCACCGGGAGATCTGAGCGGGGAGGGAGGCAGCGGCAGGGAAGGCAGTTTGCAAGCGAGCAGAGAAAGCAAGCCAAGCCGCGCGAAGCCGGCGGGGCCGCCGCGGTCCGCCCTCCCAGGCCGCGCAGCCCAGAGCCCGCCGCCCCGCGCCCCAGCGTCTCCAAACACCGAAACAACACCGGGCAGGGCGGCACAGCCTCCCCGAGGCGGCCCAGGCGCTCCAAGACAGCAAAAGAAAAAAAAAAAAAAAAGAAAAAAAAAAGAAAAAAGAAGAATACGTATGCGTAAAGCTAGATCCTACAGTGGGAGAGACGTGGGGCTGATCTTCGGCATTTATTTTAACACCTGACAGCTAGAATCAATAAATAGATACATTTATATCAATAGATACACATAGGAAACTTGGAGCCAAAGCATTTGGCAAAAGCGGAAAAAAAAGAATTAAAAGGTAAAATCATGATCATGAGCAGCGGCGGCGGCAGCGGCACCAGCGGCAACAGCGGCGGCGGCGGCAGCGGCAGCGGCGGCGGCAGCAACAGCAATAATCACCTGGTGTCCGGCCTTTCCTAGAAACTTCTTGCATCACCACTTCTAAGAACCCCAGTTCTAAGAATCAACAGAGCTCAATTCTCGGAATTTGAGCTGCGGGCTTTACCACTGCTCCGCAGCAGGGGAGGACTCGGTGACGGCGCCGCACAGCGCGGCGCCCTCCTGGCCAGCACAGGGCCTCGGAGCCACGCCGTTGGCCACCATCCGGGGCTGATCGAGCTCCCCGCAGCACTGCCGCCCTGAACATTAAGGGTCCCGCGGCGGGCGAGCGCGGCTAGCAGGCGACCCTCCCTGCCCCCGGCCGCCGATGGAACAGCCCGCTCCGCCGCCGTCACGTGGGCTCCTCCTCCGTGACGTCGGCGTCTTCGCTGTAGCAAAGCTCGGCCTCTGGAATTCTGAGAACTAATTTGCTATTCGGTGACATAAGAGGGGGAGTGCGCTACGCTTTCCCGGGGTCTGGGGCTAATTCTTCCTCTCCTACCCATAAACTCGGCTCCACGAGCTAAATACACAAAAGGGAGCGAGCGATCTGAGCTGTTGGAACAAGTATGTTAGAGGCACGTTTAGAGAGGCGAGTGAGAGAAAACAATAAATACCACAGCTCCTTCCAGCTAGAATATTAGGCACCACGAGAAAAATATTTGCCAAGCAGTTTTCGGTGGGTTCATTTGTTTTCTTTTTATTTGGGACAAAGTATGTTGGTGGTGGTGGGGTGAGGGTTTTCTTTTTCTTTTGGGGTGGTGGCTTGAAATTGCGTTTTGTTGTATTTTGATGATTTAGAGGGCTTTTTTGCTTCTGATTTTTGCCTTTTGCAAGTTTGTGGCGTTATGTAAAGCGTAGGACCCGTCATCCGTTTATTTTATTGTCTCTGTGTTCTTTTCTTTTCCTTTTGAATCGCTCAGGCATTTAAAATATGCATTATTTCAACCCCAATACCATTGACAGAAGCTTAAATTTTTTTGGCCACATATGACAACCTCAACATACACCCCCCCCCCCCCCCCCGCACACACCGCCCTTGGTGCAGCTTCCTTTTCCTCTAGGACTTTTACTGACGGAGGCTTTCCTGCACTTGAAAGATGTAAAAGGATTTGCTTTGGTTTGGTTTGTTTCTTTCCAGGACAGCAAGTGGTGGGTTTACTCTTTCTGTTACTGTTGACTCTTAGGAAATTTCTGGCTGTTAGAAACGTCTGTGTGGGTACGTGTTTGCTTGTCGGCTACAAAATTCTCTGCAGCCAAATACGTGTTTGTGTTCTGCTTTTTCTTAAGGTCTGGAACATTTTTTTTTTCCTTTTCCCCCCCCCCCCCCCCCCCCGGGTTCGTTTCAAGGTCGTTAGAGGAAAGAAAAAAAAATCTTTTCGGTGCGTGTTGAAGGGATCTGCCTGAGGAAATTCTAAAGGCCTGCCTGCCAGGATCACAGATACTGCGTGTATTGAGAACAGGCTGTGCCACCACTAGACGCACACTGTACGCAGTCCGGTCCTCTTGGCCCTGGAGCAGAGCTGAGAGGAGGAGGGGGGTGGATCTTTCTTTCCCTTCTTTCTTCTTTTATTTTAAAGGTGAATGCAGGGCCGAATCTCCTTACTGTAGGCCCTGGTGTGTTTATTCATAGCTGCCAGTTTGCCTGTTTAATTTTTTTTTTTTTTTTTTTTTTTTTTGCCCTCCTACTCATCCCTGAATGAGGGAGACTCTTGTTTCTTTTATGTCTGTCTCTTGAAAGAAGGGTGTGAGGGGAAAATAATATTAGGATTCCTTAAGAATGAACCCCAAGTGTTTGGAGCAAAAGAGGCTTTCAAAGGTCAGGCTGTTCTGGGCTTTAGCTGTGAAAATCCTTCAAGTGGCTTGTTAAATCACGGATGGGCTCTCTGAATGGTTCTGCAAAATGTCCTCATATATTAATTTCTTGTGAATATTTGTGGGCCACAACCCCAAACGTGGCCTTAAAAATACAGATGTGAGCAGAGCTCTGAGCGCTGCTGACGGTTTGGGGTTTTGGAGGAATCCCTGTCCCCCAAAAAACGGTCCTGTAAGAAGTTTCAGCTATGTTGCTGGAGTAACACTACCGCTTCAAAAGGTGATGTCACGGGCTTTAGAACTGCAAGAGTCCAAAAGACCTGATTGTTTTCCTCAGGGCTGGCACTTACAAAATCTGTTGTCTGTCCCCGAGAAATCTGAATATTTGAATACTTACTGGCAGATGAATTACTGCAGTCCCGAAGGAAAAGCCTGTCTTGGGAAGGAGATTTGAAGGCTATACATAGGCCTAATCCTACCACTGTTGTGGAAATGAACATTTTACTTCCAAGACACATGACTTTGTCAAATGGGTCCACACTGCCGGGAAGCAGGCTATCTGCTTTGGTTTTTGTATTTAGAGTTCCCATTCCCTCTCATTTTAGAGGATTAAATAAATCCCATTGGGCCACAATGACACCCCGATGTTCTTTGTGTAGCTAGCTGTCTACCGTTCCCGAGCAATAAGTGCGTCAGTTTTCTAGCTGCAATTGTAGCTTTGCAACAGGAATTGTATGGTTTTGCTGTATTGTTATTCCTATAAATAGAATTACTTTATTTATTTTTTTTGATTATTTTCTTTGTCAAAGTGACTGTGTGCCTCATTCCCGACTCCTACCCCAACCCTTAACCCTTAGGCGTGCAGGCACACACATCTTGTCCTGTCCATCTTGTGTTCTCTTTGCCACGCCACTCTTAGCCCCATGAGGGCGCTGCAGAGCAAAGGGAAATGTGCTCCCTCAGGCGGTAGAGCCAACCAGAGTGGGGGCTGGGAAGGAATTTACCCTTCTCATACCTCAAGCCCTGCTTTGATTCTCTCAAGAGTTTCCGGAACAAGAGCCCACCAGGCCTACTTATAGATAATTATCCCCATCACCAGAGGCCTTACATCCTCCCTGGGACCATGCGCCAGAGTTTGTATGCCTGTGGTGAGTTTTTGTTGTTTTTGCTTTTTATCTCTCTCTCTCTCTCTCTCTCTCTCTCTCTCTCTCTCTCTCTCTCTCTCTCTCTCTCTCCCCCCC